ACCACCTGAAGGACCACCGGGACAACCACGGGAATCAGAGTGACCACCGGAGTGACCACCGGAGTGACCACCGGAGTGACCACCGGACTGACCACCTGAAGAACCTCAGTGACCACCTGAAGAACCTCAGTGACCACCGAAGTGACCACCAGAAGAATCAGAGTGACCACCAGAGTGACCACCAAAAGGACCAGGGTGACCACCAAAAGGACCAGGGTGGCCACCAAAAGGACCAGGGTGACCACCAGAGTGACCAGAGTGACCACTGGAGTGACCAGAATGACTACTTGGGTGACCACCAGAGTGACCAGAGTGACCTGAGTGACCACCAGAGTGACCAGAGTGACCACCAGAGTGACCAGAGTGACAAGAGTGACCATCTGAGGAACCTGAGTGACCACCAGAAGAACCTGAGTGACCACTGGAGTGACCAGAGTGACCACCAGAGTGACAAGAGTGACCACCAGAGTGACCCCCAGGGTGACCACAGTGACCACAAAGACCACCAGGCTGACCAGCAGCATGTCCACCATGCTGACCATCACGATGACCACCACAAAGACCACGACAATGACCAGCAGGCTGACCAGGCTGGCCACCGGGCTGACCATGAAGCTGACCGTGGTGACCACCAGACTGACCACCACAATGACCACCAGGCTGACCAGACTGACCACGATGACCACCAGGCTGAGCATGGTGACCACCACCATGACCACGATGACCACCAGGCTGACCAAGCTGACCACGATGACCACGATGACCACCAAGGTGACCATGATGGCCACCAAGGTGACCACAATGGCCACCAAACTGACCACCACAACCATGATGGCCACCAAGGTGACCACAATGGCCACCAAACTGACCACCACAACCATGATGGCCACCAAGGTGACCAAGGTGACCACGATGGCCACCAAGGTGACCACCATGACCACGATGACCACCAAACTGACCACTACGACCATGATGACCACCAAGGTGGCCAAGGTGACCACGATGGCCACCAAACTGACCACCACGGCCACGATGACCACCAAGGTGACCACCATGACCACGATGACCACCAAGGTGACCACGATGACCACCATGATGACCACCAAGGTGACCAGCGGTGGTCGTACAGCCGGTGTCCGGACGTGGACGAGTGTCGCCTGGGGCTGGCTCGTTGTCACCCGCGCGCCCGTTGTCACAACACCCCCGGCAGCTTCCAGTGCCGCTGCCAGCGCGGTTACCGCGGCGACGGCGTGGCCGGCTGTGAGCCCACGTGAGGAAACGGGGACGGAAACCGGGAAAACGGGAAAAACGGGAAAATGGGGAAAATGGGGAAAAATGGGGGAAAATGGGGAAAATGGGGAAAATGGGAAAAATGGGAGAAAAAATGGGAAAAAATGGGGAAAATGGGAGAAAAATGGGAGAAAAAATGGGGAAAAAATTGGGAAAAAAATGGGGGAAAATGGGGAAAAAATTGGGAAAAAAATGGGGAAAAATGGGGAAAAATTTGGGGGAAAATGGGGAAAAATGGGGAAAAAATGGGGAAAAAATAGGGGAAAAAATGGGGAAAAATGGGGAAAAATGGGGAAAAAATGGGGAAAAAATGGGGAAAAAAATGGAGAAAAAATTGGGGGAAAATGGGGAAAAATTGGGGAAAAAATTGGGGAAAAAATGGGGGAAAAATTGGGGGAAAATGGGGAAAAAATGGGGAAAAAATAGGGGAAAAAATTGGGGAAAAATGGGGAAAAACTGGGGGAAAAATGGGGAAAAAATGGGGAAAAAATGGTGAAAAAAATGGAGAAAAAATTGGGGGAAAATGGGGGGAAAATGGGGAAAAATGGGGAAAAATGGGGAAAAAATGGGGAAAAAATTGGGGAAAAAATGGGGAAAAATGGGGGAAAAATTTAAAAAAGGGAAAATTGGGGAAAAAATTGGGAAAAAATAGGAAAAAGTGGGGAAAATTTGCTTTGAAATGGGGAAAAAATGGGGAAAAATTGGGGAAAAATTGGGAAAAAAAGGGGAAAATGGGGAAAAAATGGGAGAAAAATGGAGGAAACGGGAAAAACTGGGAAAAAATGGGGAAAAAATTAAGGAAAAATGGGGAAAAAATGGGAAAAAAATTGGGAAAAAATGGGGAAAAAATGTGGAAAAAATTGGGGAAAAAATTGGGGAAAAATGGGGGGAAAATGGGGGAATGTTGTGGTTTTTGGGGTCAGGAATTGGGAATTT